GGACGGGAGCTTTAGCTCCTCAAATCAACCCATGAGCGAACTCATCCAGAGGATCTCCCAGGTAACTGAGGAGGTGAGGCAAGGGACTCACACTTCTAATAGGGATAAAGACGTGCTCACCCAAGCACTCGGAACCAAGGAGCACCCTGGTCGCACTAGAGGAACTAGTGTTGTTCCTTGGAAACTAGCATTCCCCCAAGAATCGAACACTTATCGGAGCCGCTCGAGGGGTAGAGCGGAACAGGAGGCAGAGTATTTGAGGAGACTAAAAGAGATGGAAGACAGAATGGAAGCACGGATTGAGGCGACTGTTGAAGCACGAGTCAAGAAAATTTTGCTGTCCAAGGGGTCAGAAGTACCACAAAACCCTACTACTGCCTTTAGCCCACAGTTTAGGGGTCACAACAGCTGCGGATCGACCCCGCTCGACAAAGAAGAGGCGAATGTGCCTCATTCGATGGACGACATCACCGAACCCGTCAATGTCAAGTTGTACATCCAGCAGGAATGGACAAAGGACAAGGTGACGCTCGGCCAGGCCTGGCAAGCGGGAGATGGGACAATTAATGGCTGCCCAATTCCACAGGGGTACGCTCACATCACCATTGATAGAATACTTGATAAGAAGTATAACAAGATACCCATTGTGTACCCCGTAGCGGAAGACAGGTCGAAACTTGGTCAAAACAAGGGCTCTCAAGTGGCCTAGCGCAAGCGCTTCATTAAGCTTGACCACCAATTGTCCTCTGATGATGAGGATGACTACGAGTCTTCGCCCACCCGCGATGATCACGCACCATCTCTCAACAGAGATCACTCCCCTCCTCATCCGGAGCCATCACCCCTGAGAAGACAGAGGTCTCCTTCTATTCCTCCTCGTCTGACTGCATCTTCATCAGCTCCGAGGAAAGATACTCCTCCTCCTCCTCCTCCATCTTCATCAGCGCCGAGAAAACATAATTCTCGTCGTCATCCTCCTCCTCCTCCACCTCAGCCCAAAACAAGATCAAGGACATTCTCGCAGTCACAGAAAAGGTCCTTGCATTCGGTCGCTAATGCTCCCAAAGTGGACCAACAAAAAAAGAAAAAGGCCGTTCAGTGGCAGCGTTACCACCTTGATAAAAGAAAAATTTACAGCACACATCTCGAAGAAAGATTGTGTTAGTTTCTTCAATCTCTGTGCCTCACTGCCTTCGTTTTTGTTGAAGTCCGAATTCAAAAGGCAAACACGGAATAAATGCGCTACAACAAGAGACGAAGAAATACACAATAAAGATTTAAGGAACATACAGAAGTATGTCGAAGACAACCCAGGACTAACCATGGAAGAGGCCATGAACATCTATTATGATGTACAAGGGACGGGAACACCGGCAATGAAGTATGAAAGGGGCAATCTTTTGGTTCCCGATCATGAGTATAAAAATCTGGCAACATATATGCGCCAGTTACATAAATATTACATGGCTCAAGTAACAGAGATGGATGACTTTGGTTTTGAGGTTATTATTCGTTCGCCACATGTTTTCCATTATCCTGAAGAAGAGAAGTTCGATGTCGAGTGGGAATGCTTGTTCTAGCTATACCAGAAATGCTCTCTCGATGTTCAAATGTTGACGCTGTGGACTATGTAAGTACCCTACACGCATGATATTACAATTAACTACTCTCTCGAGACATAAATTGTTAACTTTTGAGCACTTCCCATGATTTTATGTAGGTGTATAGCAAAATTTTGCATTGTAAAAAGTAAATGGGATAACATAGGCTTTTTGGACCCCTTGCGAGTCAATGAGAGGACATGTCTAGGCCTCCATGGATGTGACGTGGAAGACCTGAAACAGAGATTGATTGTTGTTTTCGATGAATTCACAATGAAGAACAAAACCCACATACTTCTAGCCTACAACTGCGAGTATGTGTTCTCGGCTTTTAATTTTATGCTTCTTTTTTTGTTAAGATTATTCGATAATTTGGATTCTATGATTGCAGCAACAATTTCGTCTTCATTTGTGTTAATCTTGCCAAAAATCTGATCGAGGTGCGGGACTCGAACAAAAAACAATTTCATCATTTGGATGCACTGGTGGCGGTGCTGAATTAGTAAGCGATCCTAATAACATATTATTTTCTAACCATACATTCCACTTTCTAATGTTTCTCCTTTTAATGTTGCTCAGTGTCCGAAGAAAACATAATGGTGGGTCGCCAGTCCCATTCAAGGTTGTCGAAATGGAGGGAAAGTATCTAAAACAGCCGGCGGGAAACAATGAATGCGGGTTTTATGTAATATGGGCAATGCTTCGCTACATCGGCGGGAAATCAGAAGAAGCCGATAAGTTGGTGTGTATAATCCCCATTTCATTTATGTCTGTTAATAATTCAACAAAATGATTTACTAATTCCTCTTTGGATATCATCTTTTTTGAACGACAGCGTAAGAAACATAACCACAAAAGGCTGTTAGACATGGAGATCGTCGCACAACAATCGGAGCTGGCAAAATTCATCTTAGCCGAGGTATTGGAAAAAGATGGAGTATTTTCCTTTGCACAACCCGTGAAGTTCAAGGACCAGTATGGCCCAGAGCAGCTCGCTAGATTATTGTAAGAAGTCCGAGAAGCATGCTTATCGAATAATTTCTTTTTTTTAAGGGATCGAGATCTTGATAAAAATATTTGAACTGTAATCGTAATATTTGTAATGTTTAATATTGATGGACCTGTCGTCTACGTAGCGTATATAAAACGAAACCTGATTCCACGTAAAAATATAAATTAAAATAAATTATAAAATAATAAAATATGAACGGGCCATCACTGCCGGTTAGCAACAAACCGACAGTGTTGTCGTGACCATCACTGCCGGTTAGAAAAAAAACCGGTAGTGATGATAAAGAGGGCACTGTCGGTTCATGGAACGAGGCGGCAGTGTTGGTTGAGCTATCACTGTCGGCTTAAAATCCAAACCGGTAGTGTTGCTGAAGACAACACTGTCGGTTTGAGCTAACAACCGACAGTGATGGCTTGATCAGCACTGCCGGCTTGAGACACAAGCCGACAGTGTAGGCTGGCTCAGCACTGTCGGCTTGAGCTAAGAATCGACACTCTTGAAGCAAACATCACTGTCGGTTAGGTCTACAAACCGGTAGTGTTGTTCAACTGGACACTACCGGGTGGAGCCAGGAACCGACACTATTGCATGTAGATCAGTGTCGGTTTTTAGGAACCGGCAGTGATGTCAACCCCCATCACTGCCGGTATGCCACTGTCGGTTCAAAATCTGGCCGTGAAGGGAGTTTTTGAACCGACAGTGATGTCAAGATCTGGGGTAGTGATTGTCGTGATCTGGGGTAGTGCTGGGTCCTTAAGCAATCTAATTTTACGGAAAGAGCTCTTATAGGTATGGATTGTTTTCAAAACAAGTAATTATTTATTCTCCTAACAAAATCTTAATCCATTTTTACTAAGCAAATCCCTATTATTTTTCCTATTTTAATTCTAATTAATCCTGGGAGCCGAGATCTCCCCTGGTGGCGGCGGCCTTCCTGGCAGCGCCCTCCGCTGGCGCGTCGCACCATCCTCGGGCCGTGCGCAGGATGCCCATAAGCCAGCCATGGCTCTGCGCTGGGCCTCGCTTGGCCCGCTAGGTCCGTTGTCGGGGCCCATATAGGCGCATGACAGAAAACATACCACACAATTGCACACGAGTTTATCTAAATTGTGATTTTGTGATGGATCGAGCTGTATTGGCCTAGAGACTAATCCTCGGTCTAGTACTCTATTTTCAGTCTCATTACTCAGTATACTAGTTATAATTATAGGTGCTTATTGTACTAAGGCCCGCCCTGACTTTTAGTTTGGCTCTAGGCCGTGGAAGCCTTAGGATTGGAAATGAGAAACCGTGTGTGCTGGTGCCTCGTGTGTATACTATGGTTGAAGTCCAAGCGCATGGTACAGCGTGTGGACTAAACGCATGTGTGGAAACATGATACTAGTCGCTTACACATATATTTTATAGTCGTGATGGCGAACCGGCAACAACCCACGGACGAGGAATAGGTATATATGGTGTGCTTTACCTGCTACCTGACACGATCATAGTTAATTTAGCTGCACGGCATATATAGCCAAATAACACTGCACTAATTTATGCTATACGTGAAGACTAGCAACTTTGGATTGTTTGCACGCAGGTCGATCATGTCTCTCGTTCTCATCCACCAAACGCTGACTCGGATTGGTGTCACCTCATCTGAAATCGATAATAGAATATATACACTCAAATAACACTGCACTAGTAGGAATTTGGTTGGTTTGGACTGTGAAGGATCGTAACGGGCGACCAGAGGGGGGGGGGGGTGAATGGTCGCGGAAGCCAAAACTTTCTAACAAAAATTTCTAACCCTTCCCCTAAACACAAAACCTGAATAAATCACGTTTTTCAAATCTGGACAGAACTCTATGTACCTAGTAAACCTGATGTGGACGAAAATCCGTAACTCCGATCGACCTAAAAATTTGTCAGATTAAACTAGATGAAATTACGAAACTAACCCAACTGGAATCACGTCAATCGGACTTACGGATCTTGAGATAAAAATAAAACAAGCAGACTATGTCAATCTTGTCGACGAGAATTGTAAAGAACCAATCGAGATGCACAAGATCAATCATTATAGATGAAAGATTAAATCGAGTAATTGAACTTACAAAAGTGCATCTAGCCTCCGCCCGAACATCCTCCCTCTCTTAATCGGAGAGATCAACAAAAACCTCTCACTAGAATTCAAACCCTAGGCTAGACCGGAGAGAGGAAAATTGAACCGTGGAACCCCGGGGCACGAGTACTGTTCACGGGTACTGTTCACGCCGGGAGTCCAAAACGTCTTTCAACTCTCAACCCTAGGTGCCACATATTTATATCTCCAAAGGTGGCACGACCTATTTTCACATAGCCCCCTACGCTAAATAAATCCAACATAGGGGCGTAAATTCCAATTACATCCTCGATGGCAAATTCCGCGATGTCCGCGATCCCTCCATCTCCGCGATGTGATCCTCGCGATGTCGCCGCACGACCATCCGAAATCGTATCGCGATCGCCAGAATTTCCATCTTGCCAACGACGCGCGCGAGCGGCGTCCGATGACGATGCATGGCTTTGTGGCTCAACCAAAGCAAACCCGGATTTTGTGGCATAATCCGAAACCTCCCTCGACGTCCTCCCACCGTGTAGCCAGTGCAGTGTACGTACACCGCGACGATCGCTGTCCCTCGAGCGCAAGCCTCGATCCGCCCTTCTCTCCGCCCCTGCGGTTTTTCGACGCATCCTATCCTATCTTCGTTCTTCACTGCGTCGCCGCATGTACCTTGTCTCCACCTCACACTGCAACCACAACCTGCCAAGAGACACGTCCACCGCACACCGTGTTGTCAATCGCTCATCACCAAGGTGCTAGCCCACCGGCATCTCAATCTCCCCCTTGATGAGTGCATTGACAACACCACACCGCACAAATTTATTCGTACTGAAAAAGAAAAATAAAAAGAAAGAAAAAGAAACGATCTTAATCCCCAAAGACATGGGCTAGCGAAAAAACTAGGCTCGACACAATCAAGACAGAAATTCACTCTCCCCAAAGTGAATCAAAAGCCATATCAATCTCCCAAAAGCAATCTCAGCAACAAAACTCAACAATGTCAAAGAACACTCCCCTCAACCCCTCAAAACAAGCATGCCAAGTCTCAAAGCAAAAAGCGAAATCAAACTCCCCTGCAAAAATGAATTTGTGCGCTTACTCACTCTCCCCTTGTTGACAAAGCACTCCATCAAGATAAAATGCAAGGAACCAATTTAGAGAAAAGCATGTGAGAAAGCACAAGTCGAAGCTTCGAGACATATACAAAATACTTATAAAAGCTAACCAGCAACACGAGCTACTCAGAGAAGGAGCAACACAATGCCATGACCAATAGAATTGTAGAACTGAAATCTCTTTGAAAACCAATTAGCCAGGCAAAAACATGCATATTCCAAAATTAGTGCCAAGCTGAAGACAAAACATATAGCAAGTCGACACGATGGATACACACTTTCAAATAAAGTTCACCATAACGCCCACAAATGCATGCACTTGTCATATTTAATTAAGCTTTTGTGAGCATGACAAGCAGGGATATGGGAAGCAAGAGTTGTGCCCAACCAGGTTTGTTTAATTTTGATTATGAGCGAGAACCAAAGAGGGACATGGAAAAATCAGAGTTGTGCCCATATTTAAATTCTCGAGAAAGCAAGCAGATCATGAGCTAAATAGCAGAGATATGGGAATTCAGAGTTTTTGCTCACAACCATACTATGCACTCCCGAGTTAGAACTTGTATTGTGAGTTACATTTGTAGTGAAAACCCATTAAAAGAAGCTGACTACCGAACCATGAGCAAGATATATGTCAAGTATTCAACAAGTCACTAGATCCAGAAAAGCAAGCATAGCCCAACATAATTTTTTAAGTATATATCTGTGCTGTTTTCAAAATAAAAATTGGTCAAGCAAAGCATTCAAGCCTCTCCAAAAGCATCGATCGCAAACTAGCCAAAACAAGTATAAGGCATATGTAACTGAAGCAACTTACAATGATACTAGAATGGGTAACACACCCCGAACTCACCACGCAAACGTGCAAACGTGGTTTGATCGAGTGGTTTAGTCAGAATATCAGCAAGTTGCTGACTAGTATCAATGTATTTAAGCTTAATATCACCCTTCTCAACATGATCCCTCAGAAAATGATGACGAACCTCAATGTGTTTCGTCTTAGAGTGAAGCACAGGATTCTTTGCAACACTTATAGCGCTAGTGCTGTCACACAAGAGAGGAACGCGAGAAAACGACAAACCAAAATCGCGAAGGGTAGCTATCATCCATAAAAGCTGAGAACAACAACTAGCAGCAGCAACATACTCAGCCTCTGTAGTAGATTGAGCAACATTAGATTGTTTTCTAGAGGACCAAGAAACAAGCGAAGAACCCAAAATTGGCAAGTAAGTACCGATGTAGACTTTCTATCCAAACGACACCCAAAGAAAATCAACATCCGAATAACCACACAAACCGAGAGTTGAAGCGGCAGAGTACCAAAGGCCAAATGCGGGAGTAAATCGAAGATACCTCATTATCGCTTCACCGCCGACGGTGGTGAAAGTCCTGGGGGCGCTTTGGCGAAACACACATACACACAAAGAAAGTGTATATCCGGCCTCGTGGCGATCCAGTACAACGCAGAATGACCCAATCATGCTTCGATATTCCTTCTGATCCACGGGCTCTCCGTCCTCATCAGCATCCAAAGCAGCGCTAGTCGGCATGGGCGTAGAAATTGGCTTCGCATCATCCATCGCAAACTTCTTCAGGACATCCTTCGTACTTTCCTTGATGCACAAATGTACCTTCCAAGTTTGTTTTATTTGTAAGCCAAGAAAGAAATTCAGCTCGCCCATCATAGACATCTCAAATTCTTTACTCATCACATCTCGCAAACTTTTTCACAAGAGCATGAGAGGAACCACCGAAAATGATATCATCCACATAAATCTGAACTATTAAAGTGTCATTGCCTTGCACGAGGAGAAAAAGAGTTTATCAAGCGAACCCATTTTGAACCCGTTTTTAAGCGTAAAAGTTTTCAATCTAGCATACCAAGCACGAGGTGCTTGCTTCAAACCATATAAAGCCTTTTGCAACTTAAAAACACGATCGGGAAAATTGGGATGTTCAAAACCAAAGTGGTTGTTTAACATAAACTTCTTCTTCTATAAAACCATTCGAAAAAAGCACTTTTCACGTCCATTTGATAAAGCTTATATCCACGTGAAGCAGCAAATGCAAGCAAAATACGAATGGCTTCTAAACGAGCAACAGGAGCAAAAGTTTCACCATAATCAATACCCTCTTTTTGAGAAAAGCCCTGAGCAACCAGCCTAGCTTTATTTCTAACAACATGACCATCTTCCCCTTGTTTGTTCTTAAAGATCCATTTAGTTCCAATTGGTTTACAAGAAGGAGGAGGATCAACCAAAACCCAAACCTGATTCCGTGCAAAATTTTCTAACTCCTCATGCATGGCATTGACCCAGTTAGAATCAGATAAAGCATGTCCAACATCTCGGGGTTCAAAAGAGGCAACAAAGGCAGTATGCGCAAAGACACAATAATTTTTATTTTTCGTACCTCTGTTCCTTGTCGTGCGTTCATCCAAATTACCTATTATGTTCTTGGTAGGATGACGATTCTGAATGTGTCGTGGTGCTGTACGTTCTGAAATCGCCTCCCCCTCAACTACAGCCGGTACATGATCAACAGTCGGTGAAGCTGCAGGGCTCTGCTGTGTAGATGTATGTGTCGGCGATGGTCCATCCTCCAAAGTGGTGGAGGGCGCCTGCTCAGGCTGGGCGCCAGGCTCCCCCTGCATCGCAGGCTGGGCATCATCGTCATCGTCGTCGTCACATCCATCTTCCTCTTTCTCATCCTCAAAAATATCCTGCCCGATCTCGTCATCACCTGCACACTCAAAAGCAGAAGAAAAACAAGGCATTGTCTCGTCGAAGGTGACCTCACATGTCTCATCGATGCGGTTAGTATCAAGATTAAGCACACGGTACGCTCGCCCTTGCAAGGCATACCCCAAAAATAACCCATCGGAAGAACGCGATTCAAATTTATCCAAATTTCCCTTTTTCAATATAAAACACTTGCAGCCAAAAACTCGAAGGTGGAAAACTTTGGGAGGTCGACCAAATCTCAACTCATAAGATGTTTTTCCTAGAAAAGCTCTCAGAAAAATGCGATTAGCAACATAGCAAGCGGTGTTGATAGCCTCAGCCCAAAAACGTCTAGGAGTTTTATGTTCATCAAGCATTGTCCTAGCCATCTCAACAAGCGTACGATTTTTACGCTCAACAACACCGTTCTGGGGAGGAACGTAAGGTGAGGAAAACTGATGATCTAAACCTTGTTCTGAACAAAAAGCTTTCATGCGAGAATTCTTGAATTCCGTACCGTTGTCACTGCGAATTGCTCTAACGGCATTATTTGACAACTCATTTTTCAGCTTCAGAACAAGATCATGAACATGTGAGAAAGCCTCATCCTTAGATTCCAAAAAGAACACCCATGAATATCGAGAAAAATCGTCCACAACGACGAGCACATACCACTTCCCACCAGCAGACCGAACACGGGCTGGACCAACAGTGTCCATATGTAACAGTTCACCCGGTCGTCTCGTCATCACCTGAGTCACAGGTGCATGAGAAGCAGCAACCATTTTTCCATGTTTGCAGGGAGCACAAATCAAATCCTTTTCAAACTTGAGTTTCGGTAAACCATCAATTAAATCCAATGAACTCAAACGACAAAGCAAATCAAAGCTCAAGTGGCCCAATCGACGATGCCACTTCCAAATCAGGGGGGAACCATGAGCAACTAAACAGCGAGTTTCACCAAAAGATTTAGAAAAATCAGCTTTAAAAATCCGTCTAAAAGGAGAAATCTTGCAAACAAGGTTACCAGCAGAATCAAGAACACGCGAATTTCCTTTCTTAAAACGAACCTCAAAATCATCCTCAAGAAGTTGCGAAACAGACAGCAAATTATAATGCAAATTCTTTACCAATGCGACGTCCTTTAGCGTGTATTTATCTGTTACCTTGATGCAGCCATGCGCCATTACCTTACCTTGACTTTTATCCCCAAAAGTGATGTTTTCCTTTACACTCGTGGGGGTGAGGCTGGAGAACCATTTATCATCTCCGGTCATGTGGCGCGAACAACCGGAGTCCATTATCCATATGTCCTCCTCGCCTCCAACCTGCAATCAACAACGAGAGCGAGGGTGAGCTAATGACTCAACACTGGGGTTAGGATAATGTAATGAAAACCAGTGCTGAGCCACTTGCTCAAAAGAAGCATTAGCAAAATCAAAGCTCTCAAAAAAACGATGAGAACCACGAGGGGGAAAACGTGGTCTGTCATCCCGATGTTGTGCAAGAGCACGAGTACGTGAGCGAAAACCAGAAGAGCGAACAAATGGCTCACGTCTCAAAATAGGACGATCATGAGTACCACGTACAGGGTACTGCTCACATCTAAAAACACGACGATCATGAGTACCACGTGTGGGGTACTGCTCATGTCGTTCAGCACGCATCCTCCGATAACAGAACTCATAAAGATGACCATCATGACTGCAAAAATCACAATGATAAAGCTTGCGTGCAGGAGCGACAGAAGCCTCAGCATTAGAACTAGAAGCAACAAAAACAGGCTTAGCAAAATGATCACAAGAAGAACCATTTGGCTTAGTATTTTGTACATCCTTGAAGTGTTTTGGCTTAGGCGCCCAAACCTGCTTTTTAGGAGCAGATCTAGATGTCTCAACCAGCAACCCATCAGAGGTGACACCTGAACCCTTCCTAGGAGGTGGTCCAGTATATTTAGCCAAAGGTGGATTCTTCTCATCAACAGGCGGTCCACTTTTTTCACCAAAAACATGTTTCAAGTCATAACCGGGACCAAAACGCTCACCCCGTTTAATTTGAGCAATAGCCATACCAATTTGAGGCTCACGAATAGAACACCAACCAAGAATAGTTCTCAAATGCTTATTTTCTTCTTCCAAATCAGCAAGTTTGGCCCTTAAATCATTATTTTCAACAACAAAATTAGGACAAGTTAGGCATGAAGGAAGAACCGGACAAGTGTGTTTTTCCAACTCAACAATATGTGATTTAGCAACATTTAATTCAGATCGTAAAGTTGGACAAATCAAACAATCCGGCAAATCAGGACAAGTGTGTTCTTCAAAATTTTTTACCCGACATAAAGCATTATCCAAGTCAACTTTCAGAAGCGGGCAAGAAACACAAGTACCAAGCAAATTCGACCGAGAACGAAGTTCATTTAGTTCAGCGTAAAGTTTATCTCGATCATCAACAATGGAAGAATACTTGGTTTGCAATTTAGAAAGCGAAATCATATGAATTGAGCATTCTTCACATTCATCAGGTTCAGCAGGATTAGATGCAGCATTTTTGAGAGTAGCTAGTTCAGCACAAGTTTTATCATAATCAGTTTTAAGTTTAGCCAACACTTTATTTTGCTTATGAACAATTTTAGTTAAATTAGCTATTCTTTGTTCTGCAGAAGTATCTACCTCATCATCAGAAGTTTCATCGTTGCTGTCGGTTGATGCATCACCCTCCAAGGCCATAGTACATATCCCATCATTGATGCCGGCGTCAGTGATGAAGCAAAGTCCGTCTGTCTTCTTCTTGGGTGTCTCATCCTCGGAATCTGAATCGCTGGAGTCTGACGAGCCACCTGAAACATACTGTCCAAGAGAAGATAACAAAACATTTGCAGCCTTAGCGACTTGCTTGTCAGAGTATTTTTGTCCGCCTTTCTTCCATTGCTTATCCTTCTTCTTCTTCCTCTCCCTGAACTTCTCCTGGCGCCTGGAGGAGTTATTGCCCTGCTCAAAAGATCTCTGCTTGTTTGGGCAATCAGCAGCAAAGTGTCCTCGCTCACCACAGTTGAAGCAGCCATCTGAACGTCTTCTATTACGCCTGTTGTCATACACACGCTTAAACTTGTTGGAGAGCAGTACAAGCTGATCATCATCTAGCACCTCCAACTCCTCATCTGCAACATGACACAAAGAAGACAAAGCAAAACTGGAAACATTTGGATTAGCATTAGTGTTAGTCTTATTTCCAGAAACCAAAGCCATTGGAACGTCAGAAGAAGAAGCAGCTGTGGGATTTTTCAATTTACGCTTAGAAACAATTTCAATCTCTTTTGATTTGAGCTTACTGTAAAGCTCATCAATGGTGAGAGTCTCATAACCTACAGATTCAACGATCGCCTCAACTTTCATATCCCATTCATCATTAAGTGAATGTAATAATCTGAGAGCCCTAGCATGATCATCATAAGGCATATTGCTATTCATGGCCTTCATCTTATTAACAATCACTTGAAAACGTGCAAACATGTCATCAATAGACTCACTAGGCAATTGGCAAAAAGCATCAAACTCTTTTCGGTGAATCTCAAATTTTCGGTTTTTCACAGTGTTTGAGCCTTCATGATATTTTCTAAGTTTCTCCCAGATCTGATAAGCGAGATCTTCACTAGAAACCCGATCATATTCAGTTTTACAAATAGAAGCCTGTAAAATAGCAACAGCACGATGATTTGTTTCAAGAAGCCCGATCTCAGCGGCGTCAGTCGGTTCCTCAGCTGGAATCACATATGTGGCATTTTGTGTGATTTTCCATAGCTTCAGCGACTTGCCTTTGAGATAGTTGGTCATACGTGCCTTCCAGTAATCATAATCAGTCCCATCAAAAAACGGAGCGCGAACATCAAACTTTTCATTGGTCGCCATAGCTTTCAGCACCGATTAAGGTATAGAAAACCTAAACCGGCTTTGATACCAATTGAAGGATCGTAACGGGCGACCAGAGGGGGGGTGAATGGTCGCGGAAGCCAAAACTTTCTAACAAAAATTTCTAACCCTTCCCCTAAACACAAAACCTGAATAAATCACGTTTTTCAAATCTGGACAGAACTCTATGTACCTAGTAAACCTGATGTGGACGAAAATCCGTAACTCCGATCGACCTAAAAATTTGTCAGATTAAACTAGATGAAATTACGAAACTAACCCAACTGGAATCACGTCAATCGGACTTACGGATCTTGAGATAAAAATAAAACAAGCAGACTATGTCAGATGCTGACGAGAATTGTAAAGAACCAATCGAGATGCACAAGATCAATCATTATAGATGAAAGATTAAATCGAGTAATTGAACTTACAAAAGTGCATCTAGCCTCCGCCCGAACATCCTCCCTCTCTTAATCGGAGAGATCAACAAAAACCTCTCACTAGAATTCAAACCCTAGGCTAGACCGGAGAGAGGAAAATTGAACCGTGGAACCCCAGGGCACGAGCACTGTTCACGGGTACTGTTCACGCCGGGAGTCCAAAACGTCTTTCAACTCTCAACCCTAGGTGCCACATATTTATATCTCCAAAGGGTGGCACGACCTATTTTCACATAGCCCCCTACGCTAAATAAATCCAACATAGGGGCGTAAATTCCAATTACATCCTCGATGGCAAATTCCGCGATGTCCGCGATCCCTCCATCTCCGCGATGTGATCCTCGCGATGTCGCCGCACGACCATCCGAAATCGTATCGCGATCGCCAGAATTTCCATCTTCGGCCAACGCACGCCGCACGAGCGTCCCGGTACGATGCATGGCTTTGTGGCTCAACCAGCAAACCCCGGATTTTGTGGCATAATCCGGAAACCTCCCTCGACGTCCTCCCACCGTGTAGCCAGGTACAGTAGACGTACACCGCACGATCGCCTGTCCCTCGAACGCAAGCCTCGATCCGCCCTTCTCCGCCCCTGCGGTTTTTCGACGCGGCATCCTATCTTCGTTCTTCACTCGTCACCGCATGTACCTTGTCTCCACCTGTCACCTGCAACCACAACCTGCCAAGAGACACGTCACACGCACACCGTGTTGTCAATCGCTCATCACCAAGGTGCTAGCCCACCGGCATCTCAGACTGGAGGAAGAAAAGGGCCAGCGAGGGCACTATCAGGCAAACAAGTTCCACAAGCCCACCACCAAGTGAACGACAAGAGCATCTGTAGAAGCATGGCAGACCTTGTGATGGGGGCGATGAGCTGCCTCGTCCCCAAGCTCGGCGAGCTGCTGAAGGCGGAGTACAACCTGCAGGCCGGCGTGAAGGAGCAGGTCAGGTCCCTCTACCTCGAGCTCGAGGGTGCTCAAGCCGCGCTCCGCAAGGTGGGCCAGGTGCCGTGGGACCAGCTCGACGAGCAGGTCAAGCTCTGGTCACGCGACATCAGGGAGGCGTCCTACGACATGGACGACATCCTTGACACCTTCCTTGTGCGTGTCCGGGGCTGTGATTCTACCGGGGAGAAGGGCTTCCTCAAACGCCAAGTGCAGAAAATGTCCAAGTTGCTCACAAAGAGCAAGGCACGCCGCGAGATCAGCGTCGCCATCCATCACATCATGAGACATGTCCAGGAGGTGACGGCACGGCGTGGAAGGTTCAAGGTCGACGATATTGCGGCCAGGCCAGCCACTGCATCGACCGTTGATCCTCGTCTTGCGGCCATGTACACACAAGTGAACAAGCTTGTTGGGATCGACAATTCAAGCAGTGGGCTCATGTCCATGCTGCGGGACGATGTGTCCAATTGCAAGATGAAGACAGTATCCGTTTTTGGACCTGGTGGGTTAGGCAAGACCACTCTTGCAAGGGCTGTCTATGACAAGCTTATAGGCGATTATGATTGCGGGGCTTTTGTTTCTGTTGGCCGTACGCCTGACTTGAAGAAAGTTATCCAGGGGATTCTTATCAAACTTAACAAGCAAAGATACATGCATTTCAATTTTGCACTGTTGCATGAAATAAGTCAATTCATCGATGAACTACGAGAGTTCTTGCTTGAACACAAGAGGTACGCATCAGCACTCTGTTTTGAAATTTTCAATTTGTAGTACCGTCATCAATGTATAATACTCCCTAACTAAAGTCACGAATATGTGGTGTTTTAGGGCTAACTTAAGTCAGTCGCTTAAAATATCTTTTATAAATTATTTAGTTTGCATTAACTTTGAATATGAGTATATTTAATTTGTGTTGAAATACAATTTCATAGAAGTGTACTCCCACTATGTTCTACTTACATTTTGTAGCAACAAATACTAGTCAATTCTTTCGCATGCTATTCTGTATCTAGAACGTCAGCTTATTTGTGATGGCAGGGAGGATTCATTTTCCGTTTTAGTAGTGGGCATGTTTCTTTATTTTGTAGTTCAAGCTCTAGATAATAATTTATTAAAAGGTATTGCTATTGATGAATTTTGCGCACTTTTTTGTGGATAGGTATTTTATTGTTATTGATGACATATGGGAGGCACAGTCTTGGGACACAATCAAACTGGCTATTGATACCGACAATAGTTGTGGAGGTAGAATAATCATAACTACTCGTAAATTGGACGTTGCTGCAAAAGCTGGTGAAGTTTACAAGCTACAACCACTTCCCTATGATAACTCTAGAAACTTATTCTTTACAAGAATATATGGTCATGAAGGAAATTGTGTTGAAAATGAGCCAGATCATATATCTGATAAAATTCTAAGAAAATGTGATGGTATTCCATTAGCTATTATCACAATGGCTAGTTTATTTGTGGGTAAACCAACAGAGGAATGGTCTGAGCTATACAAATCTATTGGTTTTGGCCTTAAAGATAAGGAGGAAGCAGAAAGTACTAAGAGAATAGTGTCTTTTAGCTACTATGACCTGCCTTCACATCTAAGGTCATGCTTGGTTTATCTTAGCGCATTTCCAGAAGATTGTGTAATACCTAAAGAAGCATTGATTTGGAAGTGGATAGCTGAAGGATTTGTCCATGAGAAACAAGGAATACAGTTATTTGAAATTGGAGAGGGTTACTTCAATGATCTAATAAATAGAAGCATGATCGAAGCAGTAGAGAGTAGGCATGATGGAAACATCTATGGTTGCCGTGTTCATGATATGGTGCTTGATTTCATCCGCTTGGTGTCAGATGAAGAGAACTTTCTCACTATATCTGGTAGAGGAGATGATAATAGTCAAAGAACACTGAACCAGAACATTGTGCGTAGGTTGGCCCATCAAAATAGGGACATGGGGCACACTCATCAGGCTAACCATGTGGACATGCTGAAAGCAAGGTCATTTATCGGCTACGAGTGTGTGATTGAGAAAAAGGTCCTACTCTCCGGCTTCAAAATTCTACGTGTGCTAGCTATAGAGAACTGCAAACCTAAGGGTGGATCCCCTATCCGTATTGAGCATCTGGGGCACTTACTTCACTTGAGGTATCTTAGTCTACGAGGAACAAAGATTGATAAGGTCCCTAGAGAAATAGGCACACTAAGGTTGTTGCAGACGCTGGACTTGACCAAATCTTACATTGTAGAATTGCCATCGAGCATCAGCTTGCTCACACAGTTGATGTGCCTTCGTGTCACATTTGACCCTAATGTGGAGGCGGGCAAAGAGGTTGCTTCAGTGGGGAAGCTGACATCCCTAGAGGAGCTGCGCATACGTTTCCGGGGTGAAAAGTGGTCTACGAGGCGGTTTGTAAAGGATTTGAGCAGCCTGAGTGAACTCAGGGTGCTCTATGCTAGTACCTACTACGATAAGGAGATCGAGAGAGATCTTCTGGAGTTTCTCCCACATCTCCCCAAGCTGCGGACCCTAGCAATTAGTCATTGCTTTGATGGTAATGGTAGCAAAATTCCTACAGCCAAGTGGGAAACAGAGTTTGCCCTGCCACTGCATCTCCGACATTTGGCTGTCAATGGCGTAGCTGCGTCGGTGGAGGAGCTAGCAGAAATACGTTCCAATGAATTGGATGTGGTGGAATCTCTACGTGATCATGTGAACCACGACTACCTGATATCCTCCTGTTACCTGGGTGATAAATTTCCTACAGCCACATGGGAAGGTGCAGGGTTTGCTCTCCCACGGCATCTCCGAGAATTGTATATAGTTAAAGTCAAATTCTGCAAGCTACCATCGTGGATCAGTCCTTCGTGTCTTCCTAATCTCTGCTACTTGGGCCTATACCTGCACGCCATGGATGAGCAGGACCTGAAACTTCTTGGAAGGTTTCCAGAGCTTCATTTTCTTCAACTGATCTCGAGGTCCTCAGCCACAATAAGCAATGTAAGTGACAGTGATGCTGGCTACTTCCAGAAACTAAGGTACTGCAGAATGGGCGGCCTGTCCACCGTCTGGTTTCGTCCTGACAAGGATGGCAGGAGCCTTTCGTTTCATGTGTGGAATGGAAAAGATGACATTGTTGCCGTGCCCTTTGGTTCTCGAAACATGGGCAGCATCCACAACAGAGGCACAGCAGCACCTTCCTTCATGCCACAACTCCAAATGCTGTCGTTTATCGTCTATGTGCGGGCCTTAAGAGACCGTTGTTGTAGTGACAACTTCGGCCTAGAACACCTTCCTTTGCTTCGTGAAATCGAGGTTGAAATCTTGTGCACTTCTGCCTCTGCTGCGGAGGTGGTTCAAGTGGAGACGGCACTGAGGCACGCAGCCAATGTCCATCCCAACCGTCCTGTACTTGTCATCTCCAAATTCGACACAGGAAACATGATCCCACAACAAGAGGAAGAGGTACACTCCTAGCAAGTACACGTAGTACTATGATGTTTTTCTCCCTACTATTTCTGCACAAAACAATGCGAGAACCAGGTTTATACTTATCGTATTTCCTTGATTATTTTCCACATTCAGGAGAAATGCATACATATTCAATTGCCAGAGGAAAAAGACTGAGCCACGCAGCATGCAGCAGCAGCAGTAGCTCAATCTTGTAGCGAAGGAAATCCATCCATCATTCAATTCAATCCATGGTTGGCAACTTCTGCTCTTGTTCAACCAGCACTCCATCTGATGACACTTGCAGCGGTGGCCGCAGCTGGCTGAAGCATGGGCTGGTCGATCGATGTAGCCCATTTAATCATAGGACCCAACAGAATATGTAAATCCTTCAGCATATTAAAACACTATTACGAGTCAAGAAAAACATTGTCATTGTAGTGCAATAATTTTTTTTCAAACGGGGATAGTCCCTATTTCCATTACCATGGAAACCATTACACTACTACAAATTCGATTTGTAGCAACGGGAGGCCTTTTACTGTAGTGGTGGCTGGAAATAGAGCCGGCTCTATAATGGCCTCCAAAACGAGCCGCCTCTAGAAATGTATTTTTAGAGGCAGCTGTAGTTCCTAGCCGCCTCTACAAATGCCTCTATTTTTAGAGGAAGCTCGTTTCCAGCCGCCTCTAGAAATGGAATTTTAGAGGCGTCTCTATTTCCAGTCGCCTTTAGAAATCGATTTCAGCCGCCTCTAAAAATAGAAGCTGTATAGTAAATTTGAATTTTTCAAACAACCTCAGATGGAGAAATAACCAAAATAAAAGTTTTACATCTCAAAAAGTTATGCAACTTAGTAGTAGACAACTTTTTCATTTGAGATCATCTATGCATGGAAAATTATGTTTGAATTTCTCACATTTCAAATTTAATTTTTTTAAACGACCTTGGACGAAGAAATAACCAAAACGAAAGTTGTAGATCTTAAAAGGTTATACAACTTTATGGTTGACAATTTTTTTATTTGAAATCATCTATGCAAGAAAAATTATGTTTGAATTTCCTCATATTTGAAATTCGAATTGTTCAAACAATCTCGGATGGAGAAATGACCAAAACAAAAGTTGTAGATCTCAAAAAGTTATAAAACTTTGTAGTTGACAACTTTTTCATTTGAATTCATCTATGTAGAGAAAATTACGTTTGATTTTCTCACATCTAAAATTCAAAATTTTCAAACAAGCTCGGATGGAGAAACGACCAAAACCAAAGTTGTAAATCTCAAAAAGTTATAAAACTTTGTAATTAACAACTTTTTTCATTTGAATTTGTTTGGGTTCCAAATACTCATTTCAAAACCGGATGAAGATAAAATGAGGAGGACGAATGTCCATTTGGACACAAGTGTTGTATAGGTGGAGTGGTTAGGGAACCACCGCGCGAAGTGGCGGATTGCGGGTTTGATCCCATACGGCTGCAAAGCGCGCATTTTTTGCGCGAAAAATCATGCTGCCTGGTGGGGTCTTCTCGGGTTTAAATTTTTTTTTTTTGCTATTTTTTCGTCCCAGATTTATGATTTCTGAGCAACGAATCATGCCGCCTCTACAAATCGATTTCTAGATGCGGCTCCTATTCCCAGCCGCCTCTAGAAATCCGATTTTTAGAGAGCCGCTTCTATAGAGGCTTTCCTGCCGCCTCTGCAGTAGATTTCTGTAGTAGTGTATAATGAGTTTGAGGACAAAAGAAAACAGAGGAAAGAGGTCACCTGGCTCAGGTGAACACAGCTGATACAATCAATTCGGAGCATAGACATATATATCCTGCAAACAAAACAAGTTTTAGCAGACATAAAGAATAACAATGAAGATCAAGCCTTCAGATCAACCAGCACTTGACTCTCTTAGTTCTGCTTCGGTTGATTGTCATCCTCCTTGTCATCGTCGGAATCTTCAATGGTGCCATGGCAGTGATGTGCTGCTGCTGGTGATCTGGTGTTCCAATCAACATGTGGATTGCGGCATGTAGAAAAACGTTTGCACCATTCACCGCCTCCTCTTTGAGGCCAGCCTTGAGCAAACCTGACCAATAGTTGAGAAAAGAGCATGCTCTATCTAGTTGTCACCTCCTAAGGATTTTAATTTGCCTTTTATCAAAACATGTTCTGTTAGAACATTTCCACGTTGACCAGCGAATTGCTGCAGTCAACAACATGTGCATTCATTTATCCTTAGTCAGCAATATTTGCAGCCATAACCAGCATTGCTAAATGGACTTAGTAATACAGTTAGCCCCAGTTAAGCAAGCTATGAGGCGCCATTTAGTTTTGGCTACTTTGCATTCAAACAAAATATGGTTGGCTGTTTCAGTAGCATGTAGGGCTACCCTTACATTCCCTTTTGATAATATTATCTTTAGTGAGAATGTCAAACAATTAACCACAAGAAGTACTTTACTTTCTGTGGGAGTTTGGCATCCCAAATATGTTTATGAGAAGATCCATACTCCACTTGAGTTAATTGTTCATAAGTAGATTTGACTGTGAACATGCGAGATGTTGTTTATTTCCACATTATGTTTTCCCTACAATCCACATCATCAAGTAAGGACATAGTTAATATTGTTCCATTGCTCCCTCAGGGAGCCCGGGAGCCACCTCCAGAAGTTCAAGTTACCATTTATGATTTTACAGTTATACACCGAGATGGATTTCTTATTACAAAGATAAAAAAGAACATGATACTACTAGCCAAGGGGTGTTTCACCCAACCAGGTATGCATGCAGAACAAAATATCTTTGCCATTATTGACATGCACTTTCCTTCCTTTCATATACACATGTCTAATTTTCAGCAGATCAGAGCACATTGGTTAATCATCACTTCTACGCTTGACTTGTCCATGGCATTGACCTTTAATGTATTTTGCTCTTACTAGGTCTTGCCAAATGCCCTGTTTCTTTTCTATTTTCCACCACCATTTACTCAACAGAGTTATATTCATTTTCCTAAGATTTTTTTTATTCGAGGACCCCCTTTTTTGTGCATTTGCAGACCTTGGTCCACATGATCAAATGGTATTTTTTTTCTTTACACTCCCACACTCTCACCTTGCCAAAAGAAGGATCGTCTTTGTTTACCTAACTTATCAACAGTAGTGACTTGTAGATATCATGTGTATTCCTATTCAATATTAAGAACTATGATCAAATGGTATTGAGCTCTTGCGCCGGTTGGGTAGGTTACGGCTCATCCTTGTTGTCGAAGTACTTATTCATCAAACTAGATCAGTACCTGTGCCCTCTGGCGAGGAATCGCCTGTGCCTCATGTACACCATCTTCTTAGACCCTTTCCCCCATAGTTTGTTCATGTCCTCTAGCAGTGGCTCCAGGAACACATCTATATCAAAGCCGGGCTGCTTCGGTCTAGAAATAAGAATGGTTAGCAGAAGGTACTTGCGCTTCTTACACAGCCAGGGAGGTAGGTTGTAGATGGTAAGGATGACTCTGTGCGAGCTGCTAAGGTCACCGAACAGATTCATCCCGTCAGTACTCAGTGCGAACCTAACGTTCCTCGGCTCATCGCAAAGGTCCAGGTACGTGGCGTCTAAATGCTTTCACTACCGGGCATCGGCAAGGTGTCGCAGCTTGCCGTCATCCTTCATGTGATTAGCAGAGGCATGCTAGGACATTAGCTTGGCATCCTCAGGGTTTCTGAATATACAACGCAGGCGATCAAACACGGATGGATACCACATCGACAGGGCAGGAGTTCTTCTCGGCATGTAACCTTCTTCCTCCTCCTCATGAGACGAGATATGCTTTGCACTACTCTTCGCCTTCTTCTTTGGCCCACTCGAGGCTCCGTCATCGTTCGCATCCACACGACACCCGGCATTCCTCTTGTATCGACTCGCGCCGCAATGCGCATAGCTCTCCAAGCTCGCATACTGGGTGCCCCGGTACAAGATACAGTGGATAGGGCAAGCATGAATCTTTTTAGAGCCCAACGTTACTGGCTGGATCAGCTTCTTCCCCCGATAGGTATTGGCGGGCGCTTTGTTATTGTTTGGAAGCAGTGAATCCAAAGACATGTAATAGCACGTTGAAGCTAGCATAGGACCATCTGAAACGAGCCTTCAGCATCAGCATCTGGAGATCAAAATGCAGCACCATCCATTGCTTTGGACAATCCTTATACATCGGATCCTTTGCCGCTTGCTTATCTCTTTGAAGTTGTCTAGCCACCTTGGGCTCCCATATAGAAGGTTGTCATTGTCAAGGCGGTTAATGAATTCCTCAAAGAACAGGGTCGTCGAGGTCCTCCAAGGCTGCCTCACAAATATCCTCATCATGGTCACCCCCGCCATCAGCTGCATCTTGGACAAAATCATCCATCGTGACAAAAATCATCCTCGCCATCAACACTATGCCCAGCTGATGAGGTGGCTTCTCCTCCATGGTCTGCATGCACCAACGACGATGTTCCTCGGGATGCACCACTCACATCTCCTTGGACGTGAACTTCCAAACCGTGTACCGTCGACGAAACCCCACTGGATCAAGTGAGATTTGACATCACCGCCTTCTAGCAACTAGACACGCTCATTCTTGCAGTGAGAACATAGATTTATGATTCCTTGCCGATTCACACTCAAAGCATGCGTTCGAGCAGTGTCAACAAACTTATTCACTTGTTCTATGAAGGGGTGTGATAGCCTCGATATTTGGCACATCCATTCTGACCTTTCCATGCCAATTAGCCTTGTACGTAGTAGAACAAAATATTAAGATGCATTAAAACGAGAGGTGCATTAAGACCCAAAACTAATTAAAATCTATAATTAACACAAAAAACACCACTTGAAGACATAATAACTAACTTGCATCATGTACATATAGACCTTCTCTATGTCACACACAAACATAAATATAGAAGCATTACAAAGAAAACTATAGAAATGAAGAACAAGATCTAGTTTCTCTCTCCTCCAGCATAGATTTAGATCTAGATCACCCAAAACTTGAAAGGA